GGGTAGCATGAGGTCACAGGGCCGGGTGAAGAAATGTGCTGTAAATACCAGCTTCCAAGTGACGTCTGTCCTCAAGCCACTGCCACTTATAACCTTCAAATGAAATTTCGTTAAATGTCCCAATAGCAAACAACAACGTTTCCACCCTCCAAGATTTTGCTGACTATGAATAGATCTCCCTGCGCCTCCCTGGATTTAAGAGCCCCTCAGGCTGAGGATAACCACTCTGTCCCTAGAATGTCCTCAGATGTCACCTGCCTTGCTGACGGTTGGCTGTTCTGGCATCCTCAGCTCTCTGAAATTAGCACCACCTTCCTCTAAGGATCCCTCTCGGGGATGAACTGCCGGCACCCGGGTGTTGAGCCTGCACTTACCTAGAGAGGGAACGCCCGCCCATAGCAGCCTCCTCTTTCCAACTCATAAGATCCCGGAGCAGTGGAAGAGCCACCCTCACCCCATGTCCCCTGTGACTTCTCCATGAGTGCCCCAGGAGGTCAGAGAAGTGAGGAGGAACCGCATGAACACTGTTATGGATTGAGTCGTGTCCCCCAACAATATATGCTGGAGTCCAGTGTCTGTGGATGTGGTCCTATTTGGGAATAGGGTTTTCTTTGTCATGTTATTGACAGTGCAGGGAATGTCCTAAACCTAAGCACTGCTGAGTGACATAAGGAGCTGCATAGACACAGAAAGAGACCCCTGGGGGGATGCACACAGTTTATGCTTAGCTGCTAACCTAAAGGTTGGCGGTTCAAACCCACCCAGCAGCTTCTTGGGAGAGAGACCCAGCGATCTTCTTCCCTAAAGAGTGCGGCCAAGAAAGCTCGATGGGGCAGTTCTACACGTCACATGGGGTGCTATGAGTTGGAATCAACTTGACAGCACCCAACAATAGACACAGAAAAAGGTCCTGGCTGGTGCAAACGATTTGCACTCGACCGCTAACCTGAAGGTTGGCGATTTGAACCCGCCCAGTGGGTCTGCGGAAGAAAGGCCTGGCGATCTGCTTCTGATCAGATTACAGCCAAAGAAACCCTATGAAGCAGCTCTACTCTGTAGCACATGGGGTCACCGTGGATCAGAATCAGCTCAGTGGCCACTAACAACAACACAGACTCAGAGACAAGCCGGCCCACACAGACGAACATGACAGAGGCAGGTGCATCTACAAGGCCAGGAACTCCGAGGACTGGGGCTGCTAGGTGGCATGGTAGTTAATGCACTCAAGTACTAACTGAAAGGTTGGGGGTTCGAACCCACCAGCGGCCCCAGGGGAGAAAGATGTGGCCGTCTGCTTCTGTAAAGATTACAGCCTTGGAAACACTATGGGGCAGTTCTATTCTGTCCTACAGGGTTGCTCTGAGTTGGAATTGACTGCAATGGGTTTGGGTTTGGGTAGCAGTGGAAATAGGCAAGAAAGGACCTCCCCCTAGAGCCCCACTCTCAATCCAGACTTCCAGTCTCCTGAACTGCTTGTGGTATTTCTGTTAGAGCAGCAGTAAGAGACTAAGCCAGGCACCTGTGTGAGTGTCACTGTCCGCTCGCCTGTGCCCTCCAGGAAAGGCGCCCCATGGAAATAAGGGAGCGCACAAGCCCAGAAGCACACAGAGCAGTGCTGCTCGAGTCCTGCCTCGGAGGGCCCCAAAGAACCGCCAAACGTTGATACCGGGCCAAACTCTTAAGAAAAAATAACTCATCCACAGATGCTCCGCCCCCAGCCAATATATTCAGTTATGAGAATCTGGGAGATTTAGTGGCAGCCTGGTCGTTTTATTTGCTTTCTCGACGGGACCATTTTTCTTGCATATTTAATATCCTGAAGGAATATTTTCCCTCGCAGACAGTCTGAGACGCAAATCCACCCGGGACGCATCAGGTGGTTATTTTGTCTTCTGGAGGCTCATAGGACAGGTGATTGCACGTTTGTTTTTGCCTAAGTCATTAGGGGGAAATTACCAAGGAATCAGGCCACAGTTATGGCCTGTAATTACAGAATGATCCCCGCCTGATTGGGTTCGGACGGATTTCTATCACAGGAGGAGTGCGTCAGTGGCCTCGTCGGCGTGCGTTGCAGCTTGATTAAAACTCAGGGTTTTCATATTAATAACCAGCTTCTCCCTCTCAAAGGGGCGAGTGTGTTTGCTGTGCTCCACCATCATTTTAAACATAAAAGTATTAAAGGACTTCTACTTCTAAAAGTGGTCATTGGAAGCCTGTCCTGGGTGGGTGAGGGCTGTCTTGTCTGAGGGGGAGGTTTCAGCTCACGAGGTTCTCGTTAAGGACTGAAACTTCCCCACCCCCACGCTCCCCTGGCCTCCATGACGTCACATTTCAGGGTCTGCTCTGATACCCCAGCCAAGGACAAGGAGGTGCGAACAACTACAAGAAAGCAGGGATGGGCTTTTTGTATTTTTATCTTGGGCTTGAACAGGCACTTATTTTGGATTAAAAAAAAAAAAAAAACTATCCCAAAGCCTGTTGAGTGTATGAGGCAGGAGCGGTTCAATGGTAGAACTCTCGCCTTCCATGCTGGAGACTGGGGTTTGATTCCCTACCCATGTACCTCATGCACAGCCTCCACCCGTCTGTCAGTGGAGGCTTGAGCGTTACTAGGATGCTGAACAGGTTTCAGTGGAGCTTCCAGACTAAGAGAGACTAGGAAGAAAGGCCTGGCCATCTACCACCCAAAATCAGCCAGCGAAAACCCTATGGATCACAGTGGTCCGATCCCTAACCGGTGGTGGGGATGGCGCAGGACAAGGCAGTGTTTTGTTCCATTGTGGGTGAGGTTGCTGCGTGTTGGGGGGCTGACTCGACAACGGTGAATGACACTAACATGTTGGGTGTAAGAGAATTGTCAGGGTGAGACGAGAGAAAGGTGGACAAGGGGCAGGTGAGAGACGGTGATGGGGGAGAACGAAGCCTCCGGGAACCCAAGAAGAAGCAATGGATTTCCCTTGGAGACGGGGCTGGGGAAGCTACCTTTGACCTTTGAGTTTTGTCCCGGGGTGAGGTGGGAGGCAGGGCAGTGGAGAGAGGGCACAGGGGGAGGAACCCCGGGGGGCAAGTGGGCCTGGTGGTGAGACCTGCCCGGTGAGGCTTGGGTGGGAGCAGCAGGAAGTGGGCCCTGGGGGTGCAGAGAGAGGTCCCCAAGTTACAACAGCCTGTGCCGGCAGCAGGCGGGGTCTGTCCGCCTGAGGGGGGTTCTGGGTGGTTCCTGGTTGGGGCACCAGGCCACCCGTGTTACAGAGTCCTGGCTCCAGCGGCCAGTGAGGAAGGGGACTGAGGGGACCAGACGGCAGTCCTGGGAGAAGGCAGGGCCATTTGAGCAACAGCCCTCCTGACTCTGAGTCAACACCTCTTGGCACGTCCAGAGTCCTCCTCTGTCCTTCCCGTCCCTGCCCCGATGGATAAGGCTCGCCTTCGCCCTGGTTCTCATCCCATAGTTCCCGACTGTTGGCCAGGGCCGGATTGTGGGGCACATCTGTGACGAATCTGGGTGCCCACAGCTGCCCCTTCCTGGCCGCTCACCATGTCGGCAGGTACAGGGACCAGTGCCGCACATTCTGGGATGGTCTGACTGGCTCCACCTTCTGCGCCCAGTACTACAAAGCACAGCTACACCCCTCCCGGGAGCCACCAGCAGCCCCACCTGGGGACTGGCCTGCAGACTCTCCAGGACAAGTGATGATGTCTCGGGAACATGTTTTGGAGACATCAGTTCCAGGGCTCATGGGTTTGAGCTCAGGGCCAGCTGGGACATGCTCACAGGGCTGGCTGGGACACGCTCGGCTGGGACACGCTGGCAGGGCTGGTTTGGACACGCTGGCAGGGCCGGCTGGGACACGCTCAGCTGGGACACGCTGGCAGGGCGGGCTGGGACACGCTGGCAGGGCGGGCTGGGACATGCTTGGCTGGGACACATTTGCAGGGCTGGTTTGGACACGCTGGCAGGGCTGGCTGGGACACGCTGGCAGGGCGGGCTGGGACACGCTCGGCTGGGACACGTTTGCAGGGCTGGTTTGGACACGCTGGCAGGGTGGGCTGGGACACGCTGGCAGGGCCGGCTGGGACACGCTGGCAGGGTGGGCTGGCTTTTCTAGATGCCCCACACCACTCCCCTGCGTCCACCCTGCTGAGGGTGCCCATGCCCCAGCAGCAGGAGTGGAGGGAGGTAGGTGGCTTGCCCTGCCCCGTGCCTGCCTTGGGACCTTCTTCTGCTGAAGCTGAGTCAGGGAGAATCACACGGACCTGTTTCTTTTCTGGCTGGCACAAACCTCAGGGGACTCCAGAAGGCTCCAGACACCGAGATGTGGCTTATCCTGTGAGACCTCAGGGCAGACACACTCAGATGGCAGCACCCAGCTGCCGGAGGGACAAGGCCCAGTGTGGACCAGACTTCTCAGGGCTGACTGGCCAAGGGGTGCAGGAGGTTGACTGACTCCAAGGCCTGGGGGTGGGAGCTGCGGAGCTAGGTGAGGTAACCAGCCAGGGAGAGGTGGGCTTGCTCACAGACCCTCAGCAGGTGTCCTGACGGGCCCCACCTACTGCCCCCACTATCTAGAATAGAGCAGGTGCCAGCCCCAGACCATCTAGCTGCACCACCTGAAGGCAGAGATGGGGGACTTGCCAATGGTGCAGCCTTCGAGTCTGGACAGCACCTGGGATTCACCTGGCCAGCCAGGTGCCTTCAAGTCAACTCTGACTCATGGTGACCCACGTGTGTCAGAGTAGAAAAGTGTTCCACAGGGTTTTCAATGGCTGATTTTTCTTAAGTAGATTGCCAGGCTTTTCTTCTGGGTGAACTCGAACCACCAACCTTTTGGTTAGCCGGCGAGCGCTAACCATTTGCACCCCCCAGGGACTCCTGGATTCACCTAACAGGGAGGGAAACCCCAAGCTGAGCCTGGGGCTCTGTAGGGGGAGGGAAACGTCCTCTGCATGCTTCCCAAAAGAAGGACCTTTCTTCCTTTTCTGAAAGGACCACCCAATCTCAGGAACATATTTGCAAGGATCCGGAAGTTTCCATCACTTTTAAAAAGCTCAGAAATGACAAGTCAACCCAAAACATCTCCTAATATTTTTATTATTCCTTAGATCACTGGATAGTACAAAGTTTTCCTCTTTTTTTTTTACTTAAAAAGTGTACTTTCCTCACGCTGTTGCCCTTGCGAACATTCGTTCCCCAACGGAAACGGAAGTTTCCCTAGATAAGCCCTTCGCGTCCATGGTTACATTATTTAGGTAATTCAACAAGAAGGGAGTAATTTCTTTGATTATTATCAACATGAACTTGATTATGTCTCTATAAGGGTGAACACTGATTCATTTATTTTCTTTTTAGGAACAAGAACCATCCACTTATCGATCCACACTACGGCATTGCATCTACAACATTCATTGCATAAACTGAACACACAGAGTTACCACCTCAGGGGAACAACGGAGGGACATTGCACGATATATCTACTGATACGCAAGTTCAAATGATGTGGTACAAGGACTTCATTGTGCATACTTTTAACCATCAGCCGGATAAGTACTAAGACACGGGTCCAGGAGCTACGTGGAGCCTCGGCACAGTTAATCTAAGAGACAGCCACACACCAAGAAACAAGAGCAGAGATGAGATGTGAACTACACTACCCTAAGTCGACCTGGCCGGCCCCGCATGGCCCGAGGTCCCTGGCTGAGCCCGGCCATCACACCCATCGGGCTGACCACGTCTACAAAATGTCCATGCGATCCTAGCAGTGGGTTATTCTCGGCGAGAACTAGCCAACAGTCATTGCCTTACTTCTTTAGTATGTTATTTGACCAGGGGGAGGGTGGGGAGGGGGGGCCAGCGAGGCTTCGACTGCAGTTCCAGCTGCAAATACAGGGGTTTCTTCCGAAGCGTGCCGCTGGCTTGAACTGGAGGAACACGGAGGTAACGCCATCACACAAACGTCAGGATCCACACTGCTGATGAGCCACAAAATCAGTCTTCGCAGTAGTATTTTGGCAGCTGTGTCAAAGGAATCTCCTCGTGGGCGAGGACTCGGACCCTCGGACTCCAGGCGGAGGGACTACAACTCGTCAGACCGGATGACGTGGAAGAGAGTGACGTTGTAGAGGATCTGGTGGCCATTGTTCCACGCATACAGGGCGCGGTCCTTGGGGTTGTAGTCCAGCATGGAGATGTGGGAGTATTTGTTCTGGAAGGGGATGTCGATGTACTCATAGGTGGAGGCGTTGGTCTGGTAGGCATAGTGCACCTTGGTGCCCCCCGAGTAGCCGTTGGTGACATAGAGCGTCCCACAGATGATGAAGGCCTCCCCTGCGCTGCGCTTGGGGTAACTCGTGTTCCAGGTCTGCAGGATCTGCAGCGAGATGGGGTCCAGCTTGCTGATGACGATGTTGCCGGCGTTCTGGTTGGTCGCATAGACGGCCCACAGCCCGTTCTCGTCCACCATGAGGTCGATGTCCGAGTGGCCGCCCCAGGCGTAGTGGTACATGTTGTTGTACCCGGCGTAGTCCAGGCTGCGGGTCTTGAGGATGGTCTCTGTCTTCAAGTCGAACCTGATGATGATGTGACTCTGGAACTTGTTGAAGTAGATGGAGCCATTGTAGACCACCTGCCCCGTGCCAGACCATGGGTGGGGGAGGCGGTGCGAGGTGAAATTGTCCGTGTTCATGAAGTCAATCATGGATCGGTACTCCCGGACAAAGCGGTTGTTGTGGTAGCCGTCCATGTACCAAACCTGTGGGAAGAAGAGACCTCATTAGCATGTCCAGAGGCTAGCAGGCTGGCTCCTCTGGGGTGGGCGTCCCGCCCCAGACATGGAATTCCCTCCACACCCAGGACAATTGAGGAGGAGATGAAAGAACCAGGAAGGAACAGTCAAGATGAGACGATGCCAGGTCCTTCCTTCAAACCCACAGTGCACTTTTAGAAGGGGACAAAATTATTTTCAACAGAGAAACAATTGCCCAGTTTGGAGACAGGCTGGGGAAGGAAACGCTACCGAGAAATGGTGTGGGGGAAGACAGGGTGGGGTCCCCACAGTCCGATTATTATTTTTGTGTGTGTGTGAAAATATACACAGCAAAACATACACCAATTCAATCATTTCTACATGTACAATTCAGTGACACTGATCACATTCAAGCTGTGTAACCATTCTCGCTATCCTTTTCCAAATCATTCCACCTAAGCTTCTCATCTAACCTTTCGAGTTGCTGTTGTCAATAATAATTCTTTAAAAGGGCACAATGCTCAAGGCAGACATTCTTTTCTAATTAACCTAAGCTACTGGTTGGTTTAAAGATGACTTCAGGGGACAGTTTTGGTTTAAGGTTTAAAGATATCTCAAGGCAGTAGTTCGGGGTGCGGGTCACAGTCCAGCTATTTGCAGGGCTGCCGCCACCTAACACAACCCAAGTGGTTGGTGAATAAACCACCATAGGCCCCCCACACCGAGCTCTCTGCTGGGACATCCCAGGTTGTGGTCAGTGACTACATCTGTGTGCCCACTGCTGTGTCCCTGGTCAAGGGTCTGTTGCACAGTAGGTGGACAGAACTCAGTAAATGCGTGAAATCCCACCCGGTGAGAGGTCCCCTGGGCAAGGACAGACACTAATAGAAGCGGGCAGCCCAAATCTGCAGTGGCGCCCTGTCCTCAATCGCGGGAAGGGCAGTCTCCCCGTATTCCAGCAGGACACCGTGCTCCAGCCTCCTCTGTCCTGCCAGGCTGTCTGCTGGGCGGAATGCCACTAACTTGGCCCTTGGGACGCATGAGTGCCTTCACTCATGGCCACAGCCGATGCAGGGAACGTGCCCACCTGAGAGGAATCTGCGCTTCCTGTAAGGTTGTCGAAACCCACCAACAAGCCCAGATTGGCCTGAGTTTGGGTTACAGAGGGAGAAGCTGCCGATGATTGCGAAAATGCCTGTTGACGCGAGAGCTGTCTAGACTTTTTACAAAGTGCTTTAGTCATTTTCCACCAATATGGGAGCAAGTTAGAAAGTGGTGTGAATGGTCCGGGGGCGCTCTGCCAGGCGGACGCCGTCCGCGTGCAGCTGTCTGGCAGGGACACAGCAGCTCCATCCATCAAGGGCCCTGGGGCACAGAGAGATTAAGGCTGTGGCGGCTCTCAGCCTTGGCATCACACACGCGTTGAAAAAAAAAAAAAATCATAACCCCATTCCTGAGACATCCATTCAGATGTTCAGAGGTAGCTGCGCTTTTTGTTTTCAACCTTTTTTTTTTTTTTTTTTAACTGGGTGTCAATTGCGGTTTTTACCCTTAGCCTCTCGAAGGCCAGCCCTCAAGAATGTGGGTCATGTGGTGCTGAGGGTGGTCGCAGAAGTACCCAGGACTGCGTGCTGAAATCCCCCAATACCATTCCCGAAAGGCGGCCCTCCTGCCTCTGCTTGGCTGTCTCCTGCCACAGGGAGCTCACTGCCGCTTTCGAGACTCAGTGCAAAGGACGATTCCCCGAACTTCTGACTCATCTCTCAGCAGAACCACCTCTCCCCATCTCAGCTACTTCAAGTCGACTCCAACTCATCTGTGCGTGTCAGAGTAGAACTGTGTTCCAAAGGGATTACAGTAGCTGATTTTTCAGAAGCAGATTGCCAGGCCTTTCTTCTGAGGCGCCTCTGGCTGGACTCAAACTCTAGCTTTTCAGTTAGCAGCTGAGCTGAGCACGTTAACTGTTTGCACCCCCGGGGCCTCCCTATTTCAGTACAGAGAACACTGCGTGTGCTCCCACATCAGCCTCCCCATGAGTGGACCCTTGACAGTGGGGAGCAGGTGCGATTTTTGACCCTGCACGGCCAGAGCCCGGGGCCCAGCACCTTTTCCTGTGCCCAGAACTGGGTGAAATTGGCGTCAAATCACTAAGAATTTTCAAATTGCCTTATCCTCCTGTCCACTGGCAAACTGGGGACAGGGCACACCGTTCCTGGAAATACAATTTGGGGTGGGAGGTGGGGAGTCGGCAGGAGATACTGAGTGTCCAGTAACCAGCTGGAAGCCCTGGGCGGGGCTTGGGAGCTGCTCTGTAAGCTGGCGGATTTCCATAGTATAAATGCTGCCTGTGGCCGGGCTGGAGCTGCAGCTGAGCAGCCGCTCTGCAGAGGAGAGGCCTTTTGGTAAGGGTCCCTCTTCCACCATGGGCCCCCTTCTTCCACTGCAGCCCTTTTCTCCCACCGTGGCCCCCTTTTCCACTGCGGCCCCCCCATCCCGAGTTTTCTCACTCTGCTCTCACTGAAATACCTTTCCCTTGCCCTTCTCTACAGGTCCCCAAGGCTCAGGTCAAATCCTGTCAACTCCAGGCACCCCCCACCCCCCGCCAACCCCAGCCCTCCAGCCTGTGGGAGCCCTGATTCCTAGAGGCCTGGAGCCACTGGTTCTCACCCAAATCCCACAAGAACCTCCACACCCAGGCCAATCACAGCTGACCTTGGGTGGATCCAGGCCTCGGGAATCTCCACACCCAGGCCAGTCACAGCCGGCCTCTGGGGGCTGGCTGCTCCCTGCAGGGTTTGCTCACACCCCCCAGGTCCCCTTCCCTGGATTGGCACCCCCGGCCTTGGCTGCAGTGCGTGAGAAGCATAAAGAAGTCCTGTGTTGGTACCCCCACTCCCTCCCACCCCAACATTCTGACTTCATTAGTTTGAGGCGTGGCCTGGCTACGGGATTTAAAAATCTGCTCACGTGATTATAATGTGCAGCCAGGGTTGGAAACCACAACTGTAGCTACACAATTAGCATGCGAGACAATAAATTTCTATTCCTTAAAGCCACTCACTCGTGGTACGCTTTGTTACAGCAGCACCGGGTAACTAAGACAAGCGTCAGGCTGGGACTCCAACCCACGACTCCTTACGGCCTGCCGGGGGCCTGTATATTGGCGTCCTTCTCTAGTCTGACTGAGGAGGGTCACAAGCCATGCACCACACATCCCTTGCGGGCCAGTGGCAGGGTGGTCATCGAGGCCAGCCCCTACTCCCAACTGCTGTCAACTCACAGAACTTAATTCTGCAATGGAGCTGAGAGAGGCTGAGAAGTGCTCTCCCCCAAACTGCTTTCCTCCCTTAAAAAGCTGGGCTGTGCCATTCTGTTCCTTGAATTGCCTGCCTTGGGGCTGGTACCTGTGGCCCTGCCAGAATAGCCCTCTTGTCCCTAAGGGACCCTCTGGCAGAAGAGAAAGCAACCAGCCAGTTCTGTTGGCCCCAGGAACACGCGCTTCGTATTAGTGCCAGGCTCTCCAGCACGAGGCTCCTTTGAAACGCCCAGCGCTGCTGCCCATGTGAGAAAAACCCGCCTGCCTGCATCCTGACTGCACCACGGTTCCATATGGCTGAGCTGACTGGGGGTGTGGGATTTTTCTGCTCGTCCCTACCACTTTCATACGCTTTTGGCAAACGGAGCCATCTCGGTGAAGGGCAGAGCAGGCGATGGCATCCGTCCCGGCTTTGAACCTGGCCCCACCGGATGAAACGCAGCTGATGAGCCTATGGGTGGTGCGGAGGGGTGCTATTTAAAGTGCGTTTGCTTCGTGGCCAGGGCACTGAATTTAGTCGTCACTGTGTTTTAACAAGCATCTGTCACATGCCTCCCTGACGGAATCGCTAACCTCAGGAGGTGGCCGTGGGGAGAGACACGCAGAAGGGAGCTGCTAGCTGGATGGGGGGAGAGAGGGAACCGAATGGAACACGGGAAGGCTGACAGGGAGCGCGTGAGATCAGCAGCCCCAGAGCTCCCCGAATCCTGTAGAGGAAGGGTGGAAGGGGCTCTGCTGCTTGTGGGGCGCCCGCCTCTGTAGGACAGGCACGACCACATCTACACAACACAGTGCATGTTGGACGATACAACCTTCAAAAAACAGGGAGTCCGTATGAGCCTTACAAAATACCTGGATGGCTCTGACACCCTTTCTATGACGCCTAGGGACTTATAAAGGAGCCTGGCTGGCACAAGGGGTTTGCAATTGGCTGCTAACCCAAAGGCTGGCGGTTTGAACCCACTCAGCGGTGACATGGAAAAAAGGCTTGGCAATCTGCTTCTGAGAAGATTACAGCCAAGAAAACCCTATGGAGCAGTCCAACTCTGTAACACACGGGGCCACCATGAGTCAGAAGTGACTTGACAGAGAGGGGTCTGGTTTGGGTTTAAACACTAGACTCATTCCTATTTGTAAAATGATTGCATTTTCGTAATCCTACCGTCCCATTTGCAAATTAACGTCCCAGGCGCAGGGAGAGGGGAGCTCTGGCCCCTTCCTGGGCTCTGAGGCGAGTGGCCTGAGATTGTTAAGGCTCAAGCAGGCCAGTACGAGGAACAGCCGGAAGACAGACTCCTGCAGAGCGTCTGCGGTCTCAGCTGTGTGGCTCGGCGTTGGGAACGGGGTCCCTGGTGTGCACGCTGTCTCCCTGGGGAGGCCACGCCTGGCAGACGATGTGGGCCCTGGCTCGGGGACGCGACCAGCTCCCAGAACAGCCTCTATGGCTGGGTGAAACAGGATGCCTCCTGCCCTGGGGGCCTGGGTCAGAGCCGGCAGGGGGGAAGGAGGAGCTCTGGGAGCACATGGAGGCTCAGTGCTGAGTGGAGGCGGCCTCAGACCTCAGTACACTGACTGCAGAGCCTGGTCTAGTGCCTGGCACACAGCTGGTGCTTACTGAGCCAGGAGGACTGATGTGGAGGTGCCCCAGCTCACACTGACTGAACGGCCAGTGCACGGGCACCAGGAACCTGAAGGTGGCTGGGGCGGCCCAGTGCGGGCGCCCAGCGTCCCTCCTGCCAGCTCTTCTGCAGGTCCAGCCTCTCCCATTCAGGCTCTCCCCAGATCCCCAGGGGCCCACGCGGGTCTCCCCTCTCCCTCTGATCACATCCTCTGGACCAGGCAGCCTGCCCTGAAGCTGACATTGACTTTTGGTTTCTCTTTGCAGGGAGTTATCGGTCTCCTGCGTCTGTGTGATCACGACTGGATGGGAGAAGAGGCAAGATCAAAACAAAACAGGAACAGACACCCCCCCAGGTCGATGGCGGGCCCTGGAACGTGTCTCATGGCAGGATGGGGACGCAGGCGCTGTGTCGGATAAGTGGCCTGGACGGCCGGAGACCCTGTCAGGGGAGAAAGCAGCCGGCGGCCAGCCACCGCCCCCCGTGCTGAGGCCAGAGCCCAGAGCCTCCGCCAGCCCTTTGCCCTGCCTCTCCCTGACGGAGGCCCCTCCTTCCTCATTCCTTCTCGGCAGCCTTGGCACCACCAGAGCCACGTGCTCCTGGAGGGGAGCACATCACCAAGCAGAAAATAGAGGGCTAATTATCAGAAGACTCCATCACCACCCGACAGCTTCGGGGCCAACACCCTCACCGTGCCGCGCAAAGAAACATCTGGGGCTTTCTGGAGCTGCGTGCTTGGTGTCTGCAAAGAGGCTAATTTGATCAGTGCCCGCGACAGCAGAGCAAAGCGATGCTCAGACGGAGCCGAGAGGCCCGTCTGTTGCGTTAGGTGCTCACTCTCTGTGGCGCTCATGTCACTGATGGGTTCCCGCCTCAGAGCCTAGCTTGGCTGCTGGGGCCCGGGGGGTAGCTTTGCTGCTGTGTGTGGTGTGGGAGAGGGGAGTTTGCAGGCTGGAGGGAGAGGGGCACTTGAGAGGGGAGGGTGGCGCCAGGAGGCTTGTTTCATATTGGAACATCAGCCCCTGCGATAGACATCTGTTCAGTGAAGTCATCACCTAGCCTTTTGCAAGACCTTCGGCAAGTCCCGTGACTGTCCTGAACCTGGTTCCTCATGGGGTCACCGGACGGTCCACCAGGACGCACACGCTGCCAAGTGCTGGGCTCTGGCCTGGGCACCCAGGGGGAGCTTCAGAACGCAGCTGCCTCCTGGCCACCGTGCTCTCCCCTGGTGGTGGCTGTATGAGATGCCGTCGGGTGGATTCCGACTCATGGAGACCACCATGCATGCAGAGCAGAACTGCTCCACAGGGTTTCAAGGCTGGGACCCTTCAGAAGCAGACCGCCAAGCATCTCCTCTGGGTCGTCTCTGGGTGGGTTTGAACTGCCAACCTTTCGACTAGTAGTCGAGCTCTTAACCGTTTGTGCTGCCCAGGACTCTACTCTCAGGTGCTCGGGCGCTGATATGTGTTCGCAAAGTGCTCCACCAGTGCCTGGGACTGGGCCTGCCTCGAGCGTCTGCCTCACTGCTGGGTTATCTCCGGGTTGTCACTAACGTCACCAACACCCGGGCTGAGGAGACACTCCTGAACTAACCCTCAATAGGGTGGGTTTCCCAGGTAGGGCGCCCAATAAAAGAGCTATCGGAGTCATAATTAGTCAGCTCAACTGTTAGAAAGTTCCCAAGCCTCAGAAAACAAAACCAAAACAGTATTCCCACTAAAAATACCCGAACCCCACTGTCCCCAGGTTTGCCGGCCCAGCCACAGCTCTCCAGGAGGAGACTCCGGGATGGGCACCTGGGGACACACTCCTCGCCCGTCACCAGGCCCACTATCACTGGAAGCCGTCAGAGAAAGGCAAATGCAACAAACTCCCGGGGAACCTGTTAGTCCTGGCCCCTCCATCCGTCTTCCTAGGGGGAGGAACCGGGCCAGGCGCATCGCATAGGCGATCCTGTCTCTCGCCGGCTTCAATGGTGGAAACTGTGATGGTGGGAGGTGATCCAGAATCTCAGAAGGAACCTGATCCATCCATTCCCATTAAATGTCCTCTGACCAGGCGAATGGGTCTCAAATTTCAGAGTCCCTTCCTCCACAAGGCCCAGCACACCCCGGGGGACAGGGGCTGGGTAAGAGCATTCCCAGCTCTTGGACACTTGCTCTGGCTGATGGCCATCAGGGTGGGGACAGTATCCCTCCCTCCAGCCAGAACCTTTGGCAGGGTCTCTGGTTTTCTGAGACAGGGGTCATGGGAATCCAGGGGAGGCTGCTAGGAAGGGGGACGACAAAGAAGGGAAGTTGGGGGGCGCACGGGGTGGCAGGGGAGTGGCAGGAAGGAGGCTTTAACTCTCATCGCAGTGACTGGGTCCTGTGATGGACGGGCCCTAGCGTCAGCCCCATCAGGCAGCCATCCCTCACCTCCCGTCCCCAAAGGGGCCGAGAGTATGTCTTGGGCCGATCAAGGCGAACACGAGGCTTGTTTCTCTCTCCTTCTCTGAGATTTTGCCCAGGGGGGTAGAAAAAAAGGCCCAGAATAAGTGCAGGGCCTCTCTTTGAAATCAAAAAGGAACACGAGTTTCCATCAGCCATGAAAGGAATGGCAAAAGAGATACAAATGAGATGTCATTACGGCAAGGAGAGCTAATGGATGCCTCTCCCGATGCAGACGCAGGAGTCGGGAATCTAGGCTCTGGAAAGGTTCAGCTGGAAAGAGACTGAACACCAGCCTAGCATAGTCCAGGCTAGCCCAGGCCAGGTCAGCACAGGTCATCCCAGGCCAGGTCAGCCCAGGTCAGCCTAGCCCAGCCCGGCCCATCAGCCCAGCCCAGGTCAGCCCAGCCCACTCCAGTCCACTCCAGCCTAGCTCAGGCTAGCCCAGCTCAGCCCAGCCAAGGTTAGCCCAGTCCAGTCCACTCCAGCCTAGCTCAGGCTAGTCCAGCTCAGCCCAGCCCAGCCCAGCCCAGCCCCACCCAGAGCACTGGGGCAGACCCACACCTGAGGGGGGACACTGAAGGGGACCGGCCTGCTCTGTCATTTGCCATAACCATTCTCATCTTGCGCCCCACCCCAGCAGCCTATGACTCCGGCTTAGCACACAGAGCAGACCGCAGATGGCTCTCTAATCTACCCACTGCGGCTCTGAGCTGGCACAGCAGAGCGAGTCTGCAAACAAGACCAGGTCTTTCGAGGTCCTTTCACCAAACAGCTGGCCCTGGCTCTCCACAGTGCGGGTCTGTACCTCCCTTCAGCACGGCCAGCGTTGGTCTTCTTATCTGTGGAATGGGCTGTGCACGTGTCAGGGGAGAAGCCCCCGCTGTTCAGTTTCCATCCTGTGACTTCCCCACTCCCACTGGCTCCCGCTGCCCCTCCCCGCCACACCCCCCAAAGCGTAATAAAGCCCCTGGCTTGGGAAAGGAAGTGATGGTTGTAATACGTCCCTTCGTACCAGTTCCAAAATGAAATCATCAGGCCTTTTTCCATTATTGCTGTTATTATCACTGATGTCACATTACTATCCTCTCTAAAGTGAGCTCCCCATCCCAAGAGACAGGAAAAAGG